CGGGGGTACCCATCTGCGATAGCCTTAGAGGGCGGAGCTTACACGAAATAGAACCATAAAGGTTTGCATAAAGTTGACTTCACTGCTGACAGGAGCTCCACCCACAAAGTGAGTTACCTGGACCAAAAGGCTGCAGGAACCAGGTCCGCCCGGCCCTGCCTGGCGCGCTGGCTGCAGGCTGGATGGGGTTGAAGGCTCGGATGGTCTTCACGTCAGCTCTGTTGTCACCTGCAGTTGGGATCTCCAGCACCGGGATGACTGTGCACTGATCCAACAGGCCGTCAGATGTCATCACTTCAGTATAGCCGTCCTCACAGCCACACACACCCGCCTGCGAAAGAAAACGGGAAGTGGACACGTTTTCACCATGTAATGGACAGAATCTGCAGACATTTGCAGATAAACACTCAGCTCTCTGCATTTTTTGTGTGTTTGGGTTTGGTTTAAAATGTGAGTTTAACAATAACTAACATTAAACCGTATCTCTGTTTTCACCTGTTTCTACTGAATTTGACACGTTTTCATTTCCTTCTTACTAAAATTATGTTTCCATGCTGCTACAACCTAAATGCTTAACTTGGCAGATTCCAAACCAATATACTTAATTTACATCACGATAATACCTGAACTTGACTTCATCCTCTTGTTGGCTCAAGCAGCATGTGGTGTTAAGTGATTATGTCAGTACAAATAAGTAAGCTTGCAACAGGCACATGCCCAAACAGGCTTACAGAGGAATGACCAACATCGTGAGGATTTCCCACAAAAGTACAACATAATCAAAGTTAGTATCCTGCTGCTTCTTTTTACCACAGAGACAACCCTCAGTATCAAGGTTATTAGGAAAGCGTGTCAGCACTTCAAAACGCTTCAAAAAGAAATGACTCAGAACTCAGTCTTAAAGAGCATCCAAAACTAGTATTATTTCAGATGAAAATAAAATGATGCCTCCACAAATAAAAAAAAGAAAAGTGAAATAATGTCACAAAGTACAGTTGTATCAACATGCTGAACCTTTTGCATATTATTTCAGGTTTTATAAAAATGTAAAACCTTACAATTTCCCTGAGCTGAGATATGTGAGCAGCGGAGTAAAAGCAAGAAAGACCCAGCTGATGAGAGGTTCAAGGCATTTTTCCACATTTGTCAAAAGCGCTGATGCTGAGGAAGTTATCAGGTACAAATGTGTACAATAGATATGGTACTAGAAAAGAACCATGGTTCCTGATACCTGATACTGTCAGTTAACTGGTGCACTACCTTTAAATTGCTGAAGGTTGATATCTTGTTTTGCAGAGAGTGCAGCGAGAGCATCATCCATCACATACTCCAAAGACTAATATTGATTTTATGACTCATATGGGAAATGTTCTGCAGAAAATTTAACTAAATGGAGGAGTATAAGGTGACCACTTGTGTTTTATTTGCACTACAGGCGTAGTGGATGCAGATGTGATAAACTAATTACATTAAAAGTTTAACGATTCCATCCAACACTTACCTCAGTACACAGAGACCACGGTTTGGTACAAGGTGGGTCACAAGATCGGTCAGATATTGGTTTGGCTGCAGCCAGGCATCCGCCTGCAGAACAAAAAGGTCAAATGTTTGTTAAATTCCAGTTTTAGGACAAATAAAAGCTAAAACTAGATTTTTACCATTTTGAGGAGAAGCTGTTTTGGGTGGAGGACGTTATGGGTGAAGGTAATGAACATGCATACAGGGCTGTTGGACTTTTAGTCAGTGTAGGTCAGATAGGACAACATCTGTGCCAAATTTCATCAAGATCTGATCATGTTTATGGATGTACAGGCTTGAAATGTGTTTTTATTCTTTTGCCTACTGCTTGGTGGCAGTTACATAGAGACATAGAGTATAATAATGTCATGAAATGATCAGAGCTAAAAAAATAAAAATAAAAAATAAGTTATTTTTGAGATATAAACATTTTTGCATGTCCAGACACTAGCTTTTGAAATAGCACCCACACTTGAAATATGGGGTCTAATGCAAAACTGTTTGCTAGCACAATGTAGATCTGCCCCATCTGTATTCTCATAAAATATCATGCAGCCATTTCTGTGCTACTGTTAACCCAAAATCTCTGAATAAAAATAAATAAACGATACAAAAATATATAATCAATACAGTAATATAATATATAACATATATAACAATACAATAAAAATTTCAAGATCTCAAACTACAAATCCACTTAAATTATGCATTAATTGTAATGGCAAGATGTTTTTTTGAAGCCATTTTCATATCAAACTTTTTCTTCTTTACTTAAGTGAATGATGTCAACCCCTTCAGACATTTACCTTTGACCCTCAAAAATCTGTCTGGGGGCAGGCAGGCTGTCAGCAGCGGAGATCACAGTGCCTGATGCTGATACCAGTATTGGTATTGGGACACCACTCATTCAAACTGGTCACTGGTCACTTTATTGGAAACACTCAATAATGGATTGTAACAGAAACTTTGCATTTTTTTCCTTTTTTTTTTTTTGACTCAAACACTCTCAGCCCAGTTGGATATAGTCTTAAAATATTGGCTGACTTTTACAATCCAATTGTACAAAATTTTGACCCAGAATGCAATTTTATTAAATCACAATGAAACAAGCTCCAAGATGTTTAGTTCTATTTCATTTTTTTTCATTGCCAAATAAAACACTTTAATTTTCAACTGTGTAGAAAATACATACATAGACAAAAGAAAATGAGGATGGAGTATTGCTGTAGAACACACCCTTTCATTGTCTGTTTTATTCATTCAAGTTTGTATCAAAGGTTGACTTTATCATTCCTGCACATTTGATTCCGACAACATAAGTCTTGCTAGTCAACCGTGTATAATCCTTGGGGATGTAATAGATAAGATGTTACAGACACTGATCCAACCAGCAGACACTCAGCAAAAAAATGTGCACACAAAAGCATGTTAATCTATCAGAATTGTTGCATATTTATTAGGTGTCGTGCTCAAGATCAGAGCTAGGATGAATATTCATGAAGAAATGTAACTGCATGTAAGGGGTAAAACTCTGAGTGCCAGTTATAGCTGCTGCAGGCAGGCTCACCATCTGGAGTATAGGCGTAATGCTCAGGGATGTTCAGGGATTTCTGAACACCTTATCAAAGTTTCGCAAAAGCTCTTTGCAATCAGATTCTAATTCACACAAACATTGATCCAGTACTTCTTCTATTCAAGCAAATGCAGCACTTTTTTCACCACAGTCATAAATAGTAAAGACATTAGCGTCAATAAGGGATTGAGGGCCTTACCCAAGAAACCAGAGATATAGGAGAATCGTAAGTGTTTGTTATTTATGGAGTCATCAGTAATGGGGAACAGCAAGAATCAAGCAATTGCAGCAACAAAGGGCTTCGCTACCATCAGCTGTATGAGACAATTGTCTGAAAGGCTTTATGGCAGCATATGAGAAGCACATTCAGCATTTACCTTACTAGTAGACAGGACATAGGGACATGATGCTCACCTGTGACATTCAGCCCATCTGAACGCTGGCACCAGACACGACGAGAGGAAGCTCTCCACGGTCCAGTCCTCCACTTGTATTCAAAACACTGACCACCTTCAGACAGATAATCAGAGGGTTTCAGATCAATTTATATCTATTCATCTATCCACCATCCATTCATCCATCTATTCATCTATCTATTCATCTTTCTACTCACCCATCTATCTACCCATTTATCTATCCAATCACCCATCCATCTATCTACCCACCAATCCATCCATCTTTCTATTTGTCTATCTATCCAATCACCCATCCATCTATCTACCCACCTATCCATCTACCCACCTGACCATCTACCCACCCATCTATCCATCTATCCATCTACCCACCCATCTATCCATCTACCCACCCATCTATCTATCTACCCATCTATCTACCCATCTACCTATCCATCTATCTACCCATCTACCGATCCATCTATCTATCTATCCATCTATCCATCTATCGATCGATCTATCTATCTATCTATCTATCTATCTATCTATCTATCTATCTATCTATCTATCTATCTATCTATCTATCTATCTATC